GGAAAACTGCTATAACCTAAAAATCATTCCAGCTCACATGAACTTGGCATCCCTTGAATCCGTCAGTATGATGGGATGCTCTCGATTGAGACAACTTCCAGTTATCTCAACGAACATAACAAAGCTGCTTGTATCAGAAGCAGATGTCAAAGAGGTGCCTGCATCAATTAGGCTTTGCTCTCGTCTTCAGCGTCTCACTATACGCAACAGTCATAATTTCAAGGCAATAACTTATATCCCCACAAGTGTAACACATCTAGAGCTAAGCAATACTGGTATTGAAAAGATACCAGATTGCATCAAAGCTCTTCATCGTCTACAATACCCTTTCCTTTTTAGCTGCAAAAGACTCATATCATTGCCAGAGCTCCCTGGTTCACTCGTATTTCTATTAGCAGAAGACTGTGAATCACTGGAGACCGTATTTTTCCCTTTGAACACTTCACATATGCAGCTCTATTTTAACAACTGCTTCAAATTGGGTGAACAAACGCGTAGAGCAATCATCCAACAATCCGTTGCTAATGGGAATGCATGCCTACCTGGAAGAGAAGTCCCTCGAGAGTTCGATCACCGAGCCAGAGGAAATTCATTGACCATCCCTCTCAATGGTAATAGAGCTCTTTCCCCTTACACCAGATTTAGTGTTTGCCTTGTGGTTTCGGTTAAACATCAAACAGAAGGAGGTATGATATTTTGTACCATTGTCAAAGACAACTTAGACCCCATTTACCAGACAGTCTACCTACTCTCATGTCGAACAGACCATCTGTTTATATTTGACACTTGCTTCAGAGATTTTGAAGATTATATCGAGGAAAGCGGAGAGAAGATAGTGTTCGAATTCAGGAGTGATTCCAGAGACTTGAACGTTATTGAATGTGGTATCCAGAGCTATGAATCTGAATATATCGAAGAAGAGGAAGAAGAAGAAGAAGACAATGATAGTGTCACTAGTGGGAGTTACTACACTGAGTCTAGCGAAGGGTTTGAAGACTAAGTGTCTGAAAGCAACGAAGACAACTGTGCTGAACCCAACGTTTTGGAAGATTGAAAAAGTTTGAAGAGGAGATGTATGAAGCTTGTGTATTATGAGTTAATGGAGGAAGATAGCTATTCTTCCTTTGATTGCTCGTTCTCTGTGTATGTGATTACTTTTTTTTATTTGAGAAAAACTATTCAAGGATTTTTAGTCATGTGTAATAAAATACATCGTTAGATACCTAAAAGTGTGGTTTTGTCGATAGTCATGTGAACATTAACCCTAACCCCTCAAAGCCATATATGTTCAAGACTTCCTTACCACAATGTTTCATTCTTTGATCCTAAGCTTTGTTTGTGAACTTGTGATCTCTAAACTTTTTTTTATTAAGAGTTGTGTTAATTTGTATGCAAATAACCTTTTAGCTCAAGGCCCTGTCTAACATTGAGTCGGACTTGGACAAACATGATTATACGTTGCTCATCATTAATCTAATGCAGTTGTCAAAACATTTTAATGCTTCATTATGATACAGACAACCATAAATGTTGCAGATTCTGTTCAATACACCAAAAACGAAGATGAAAGGTACGGTTTTTAATCAGATGATTGACCCAAAACAAAAGATTCAGTGAAAGCTAGGAGGAACAAACATTTGGAAACAACTCTGAGAATATCCCGACATTGTCGCGATACTACCATCTTCAAGCTTAAACACCTTAATTTCATACTCTTCCTCTTCAGAGAAGTAAATAGAGTTTTGCAAGCATCCATTGAACTCATGAGCCAAAACCGAGCAACAAGTATCAGTAGCCATCACAAATGCATTATCTCCCAAGGACTTAGCTTCTACCCATTTCCCCAACTCCTCATCCATTTTGTAAACTTTAAAACCAGCCGTTTTGGGAAAGAAGTTTCTTTCAGATGATTCGCGCTCCGTGTTCCCATCATCGTCATGTATCACATCAGAATACCGAGGATCAAAGGGACGACTTTTCCTTTTCATGATATTATCTTCAAGAATACGATCAACAATGTAAAACTCCCCACAACATTCCACTAATCTCCTGTCTCTCCAGCAACATTTAGCTATGCTGTTCTCAACTAGTGAAGTGCAATACCTGAAGATGCCGAGAGAGGAACTGATCCACCAAACAATCCCATTAGAATCAAAGGCGTAAGTTAGCCCTTTGTAACCACAATGTCGCAGAATTGAGCTTGTTGGTCTCTGAATCTGGTCCAGATCTGTCCGTCCCAATACCGGATCTTACCGTCGCAGCCAACTCCGAGGATCCGATTGTTTCCTCCGATAACCACTCTCCTGATTCCGAGAGTTTCCTTCTTCTTCTTGCGCTGGTTTTCGATAATACACGCTGACTGAATCTCGATGATTTGAGTCTCGAGAGATCGATGCTTTTGAAGCTATGAAGTCGGCTTATCTGCATGCGTCGAGAGGGTTTAGGAGATCGAGTGTCCCGTATCTGAGCCCCGCCGGGTCATAGTTAATTACTTAATTAGCCAGCCCGAGGAGGAGAGGGAGAAAGTTTAATATTAAATAAATTTGATTGGTAGCATTACAAACAGTTGAATAATATAACTAAATAAAATTATAAGTAGAATATTTTAAAATATTTATTTAGAAAATGGCGTTATTATATCGTTTAAATTTCATGTAGATTATAAATATGAATTTTGAAATAATAATTTGCATCATTATTCTATAATCCACCCATATTAATATATCCATGGCTCTAATTAGTGATCATTAAATGAATAATATGAATGAATTGGAAATAAATGAAAAAGAATAAAATAATAAATGTACTTTCTTTATTGTTTATTATCAAATTTGGTGAGAAATATTTTGTTCTATAATTTTCTAAAAATGAAAGAATGGTAAGGAATAGTGTATACAAAAATATTTTTTTTATCCCCACCAAAAAAAATATTTTTTTTTATAAATGGTGTATTTTTTGAGGAATGAAAAAAAATATGTATAAATAAATTCCATAAAAATGATATATCTTTAAAAAATGAAGAAGAATTTCATTACTATTTGTTCCTAGTCACCAATTAAAGACAATTTGGTTACGAAAATATCGTCAAATATTCGCCGTCAATTGCTTCAGCTTCTTCTATCTCTTTTATATCATCTTCATAATTTGCGTCTTGTCTCTCTACATGTTCATGCTCATTCATTTCATCCTTAATAGAATCATCTAACATATTCATTCTTCAAATAAAATTATGAAGACCGATAATAACAAATATTATTCGTTTCTATATTCAAACGTTTCTATGTTTCAAACTTGTATCTCAATAGTTATTTGATAACAAATAATGATTGTACTAGGATACTGGCGGGTTTGAATGTTTTTTTTTAAATGAATGTAACTGGATTGATGTTAAGTATATTGAAACTTTATAAGTTAAGATCTGATGGGCTCATGTTGTTACAGATTCCTCACGCATGTGTAGGCAATTAACATTGTATATAATTTGAATGTAATTTGGCTGATATTTAATTAGTATATTGAAAATGATTGAATTGGTTACTGATGAAAAAGTAGTATAACAAAATAGGAGGAGATGTGTAATATTTTTCATTGACGGTTGCAGTTTTTGGTGTTTGTAGAAAGCCACAAGCATTTTGAAAGTGACTGGATAGGTTACTGATGTAGAAATTAAGCCACAAGCATTTTGTTTGCAAACGGTTGCGGTTTTGGGTGTTTAACAACATTCATATATACTTTTTTTATTCTTTTTACTGTTTCGTACTGCTTAAAATTAATGCAAATAAAAAAAATTTCATTATACTATAATTTTTAAAAAGTTATTTTCAAAATCGTTTAAAATCTCATTTATTTCTTACTTAAATATTAAACTCAAGTATTTATTCAAACTCAATTTTATTTAAATCAACTAATATTTAGAACTAATTATAATTTTTTCATCAGCGTTTGTGTTTATTTATAGAGTAGAAGATTATATTTAATTAAGAATATTTCAATGAAAAGTTTTTAAAGCTTCAGCATCTAGAAAAATTTTAGATCATAATAAACATATTTTATGTTTAGAACTTTGCGATCCACAAGACTGCAACATCAAAAAAATAAACACAAAATTAGATAATAATAAAATGATATTTATATTATAAGAAGCTATGTATTTCTAGAATAATTTTTTTATATCCTTACTAAATTCGATTATACATTTGTAAATCTATGATAATATAAATATATTTTATTTACATGATTGATTGAAATTCAATTCCATCAGAAATCACACTTTACCTGTTTACCATATATGTAGTAAACTATGTTGCATAATCAATTTTTATCAAAAAATTCAAACTAATAGTTTAAAGTTTTACCCATGGTGAATATTCATTAAAACTATTCAAAATCTCAATTCAAGTATCGTCGTATGTTTCTTTTTTATACTTGGTTTTCTATTTAAACTCCATTTTTTATATTTGTAATCTCATATGTAAGGTATTTTTTTCCTAGTAATCTCATATTTAAAAGTTAAGGTATATCATAAAATTTATAAAAACATTCCTTAAACATAGAGGATGTAATACATTAAAAAGAAAATTAAAATTTTTTAAAATAAATGCAAGCTTGACATATTTAATTTAGCTAATTTAATTCAAAATTTTAACTCACAAAAAATCGTGAATTTAAGTTGGTCAAAGATTCTTTAAGATTTTATCATTTATTAAAGTTGTAAGTTTGATATTGTCTTCATCATTTCTTTTCTTGTTGTCGACTTTTTTTTGATCAATTGTCTTCATCAATCCCATTCTTGATATATTACTAAATTTAAGATATCAACAATGATTTTTCTCACTTTTGTTATCCAATGATTTTCCCACTTTTGTTATCCAACATTAGACGAAACCATCTACAAAAGTATTGGTACATCAAAGTGACAAATTAATAAGATAAAAAAACAAAGACAATATAAAAAATAATAATTATTGAATGTTTATTTATTATTTATTCATTTATATCATGGTAGCTAAAATTACAATATTTGATTGATTCTTTGACTTATAATACATTATATCTTCATCGGTATGCTACACTTTTTCGGTAAGTAAATTTTAAGCCATGCACGAAACTTTCAAGCTTCGATCTGCAAAATCGAATCAAAAATTGAATCAAGAGCCATGGTTCAATTTCAAGTTTCTTTGGTAAAAATAATAATAATAATAATGTTTTTACCAGACTAATCAAGCAAAATCTTTCACCATGACTACAAACTTCACACCTGAAAAATTCAAAATCAAACAATTAAATATCAAAAACCTTATATAAAATATCACTGAGCCATTCTATCAAACATGAAATAAGTATTTTTCTTTTCAAAAAGAGAGAGGAGTCATACCAGTTATGTAATGCATAGAAAAAAAATAAGAAGAAGAATTAATGAGAGAAACAAAAAATTTCTAAAAATCTGAGAGTGGCGACTCTAGATGATTATTTTCAATGATGAAACTGTGTTTCTAATTCGTATGTTGTTCACATCGCATAGAAGCGGTCGTGACAAAATAGACGAAATCGTTGATATTTTTTTGAAGCTTATCCAATGAAAATAAATTTTGTCCAGAAGAAGAAGATGGAGATGGATAAAATATTTCTTCTGGATAAATGTCATCATTTCCATTGTTTTCACTGTATGAATAATTAAAAACATACAAAATTGTTAGAACAAACAATCAAATCGATTAAAATACAAAGCTTAAAACATATAAAATAAAATCTGTAAACTGGAGAATGCTTTTTATGTTTACTGAGGTTTGTGAAGATGGAATGATAATTCTTAATGATTTAGTTGTGTATTTATAGAGTTCCTAAGGTTAGAGAGTTGAAAATCTTATAATGAAATCTTTTTTGAAATTGAACTGTAATGATTAACAAATAATCAAATAATTTGAAAAAGCCAGAATTTTAGGTAATTCGTTTAAGATGTTTTCATTTTTTTGAGATTTAAGAGATATAATAATTAAAAAGACTTGCTCGAAAAAGATTCAAAGAGTATATACAACACATAATTAAGTTTTATATATTTAATCTTAAAAAAAAGCATTGAATATATTATATCGTAATAATTAATCCCTCTATTTTAGAAAACAACACTATCTTATTAGATTAATAATTTATGATTTGATTATTTACAGAGAAATTTTGTCAGAGGATTTGTAAGATCAAGATGTGTAGATTTGCATATTTGAATATTATTTTTTTTTTGAGTAAATAATTTTCTATACTGTTTAGACTGTTACAATATTTTAAATAATTTAAAAAAAAAACTTATTAATTTTTGAAATCATATCTTAAAGATATTTATTGTATTTTCTATATTAAGGGTTTATTGAAAAAATATTATTGTATTATATTATTGTATTTTCTATATTTGAGAGAGAAATTTTGTTCAATTTTGAGCAATCAAATTAAAACAAATCAGATTTTTTATTAAATTACATTCTCATTTAATATATAGGATGTAAGAAAAAAAAACTCTAAGTAATCTATATTGTTTGCATAAAAGAGAATATATTTAAATAATGCATAACTTATAAGTGAATGAATCTAAATGATTTTCTTCTTGAAATTGCTTTTGTAAACAAAGTTTTTTCTATGAAACTTTTATGTCACCAAAACGATGTCGTTTTATACATGGCATCCACGTCATCGAGATTTAGCGGACAGTTAGCTCTGTAACAGTAAATGCATGAATTAGCACAAAATTAAACAGTTATGAATGAAATTTAATTTTTTTTTTTATACTTTCTGGTATTGATTTAGACGTTAGTAATCTATAGGTATAAATATTGGAATACTCTGTTTTGACAGAATCTTCCAGAGACACAGTACTTGGATACAACCATCAATTAATCTTGTTGGTTGCATACATGCAGTGGTCCAGTGGATTGGTTGAAGGAAAACCAGAGACTATAGTCGATCCTTTTTTGATAGAAATCTGAGAGACAAGATCATGAAGTTGATTCAGATTGGATTGTTTTATGTTCGAGAGAATGCATCAACGAGACCAGCCATATATGAGCTCTGTAATAGTTTCGCCTCTTAGTGAGACTATCACTAAAGCTTTACCTAAGGCTTCAACTTTCACTGGAAGTCAATCCCATTCTAAAAATGGTACTCTATGTCAATGAGCAATAATGTCTTCACAAAGTTGAGTTGTCATTAAGTTATATAAATCAGTTAGTAAAAATGTTAAAGTAGAATTAGAAACATTGTATGTGTCATCTAAAAAAAAGATCAAACAGTAATGCATGATTCCTCTCATTCTTGTAATCCTAAACTTGCAGAGAATGTCTTTTGCTTAAAGACATTTTTGTTATGTTTAAAGACTTTTTGGACATTTCGTAATAAAATAAAATCAAAAGATAAAAAAAATAGGCAACTTTTTATTAAAATTGTAGTTTAAAATTAAATGCAATACTGATGGTGCCTGGCCAAAAAAATGGGAATAAGAGTGGCTTAGGTTGGGTTTTCAGAAACAATGGGGGTGATGTAGTCTGGATAGGAGCTAAAGCAGTCCCACGTCTCAGATCAGCTATTGAGACAGAAGCAGAAGCTCTAAGATGGGCAGCTTCTACCATGGAAGCTCTTAACGATGAGAATTTTGTTTTTGAAACTGACTCAAAAGAACTAGTGGATGCACTATCGGGGAAAAGTAGTTGGCCTATCTTGGATGCAGTTCTTCAAGACACACAAAACATGCTTCATCGGATTGGCAATGTTGAGGTTAAACACTACCCGAGATAAGGCAAAATGGTGGCTGATCGAATAGCAAGGAAGTCTCTTTCTTTTCAGAATTATGTTCCCAAATTATTTTTGATTGTGCCAGAATGGGTTAAACCCGAAGTTGAGGCTGACTTCATGTAATGAACCATTTGTTGGAATAATGAAAAGTTGAAGTTTGAGAAAAAAAAAACTTATAAACTTAAAAAGCATTCTAAAAAAAACATAAATAATATACTTTATTAGAAATAGATATATATTTATAAAATAATGTTCCACCCAAATAATAGATGAAAGATCACTACGTAACATTTTATAAAAGCAACTACCATCTTAATATATATTGTTCATTTTTTTATATCCCATTATACAGAACAATAGCATTACATAAAAGAAAAGCAAGCTTAAAAATGATAGAAACTCAAGTCCTCTTAGTATTTGAGACCAAGAGAAAGTTCAAGGGATAATTTTTCTTCATCCTTCAAAACTTCTGAATTTGAAGGATCATTTGCACCATCACCAGCAATAGCGACATCATCATGAACATTAACAACAATATTGTTATCATTATCTTTATCATCGTCTCTGATTTTAATTAGTCCGACTTGCCATAAAAAAAATCATATAGATAATTAAATAGTTCTTCACAATCAAATAATTCGTATATTTCTACTGTCACATAGCTCCTTTTTATCCACTTTTTTAGTCAAAATATCTCACCACAATCAACAAAAACCAAGAAATGAAGAAAAAATGCCATCAAATATAATATTAAAAAACTTTGGATATCATAACTTATCTGTAAAATCTGATAAATGTAAACATTTTGGCAAAATTATAGGTATATGTAAGGTATGATGATCTTGTATATCCGATTTAATCTAGGTCATATCATATGCATCGAAACTCATATTGACAATCATGCATGATTGTAATGTATGCAAACGAAAAGAAAATTTACTCTGGAAGATTGAAAGAGAGACTTGCAAGACACATCCATAATTTTGTTACTTAATTTCCGATTACGGTTATCTTTTCATTAATATTGTATTGTAGCCTACAAGAAATTGAAAACAAAGTTAGTCATTAATTCCACAGCAAACAATTAAATGAAATTGGGCTAACATTAATTTCATGAACCTTTGTTGGCTTTGGATAAACTTGGTTGTGTCTCGAAGATGTTCATAGGTCCAAAGGTATAGTTGAGTTTGCCGCCACTTCATTTGCCGTATTATTCTCTTTTTTTTACAGTAGAATTGCACATGTGTATATATATTTAATGGATACATATATATTCTATGCAAAATATTTGTACTATATATTCTATTCAATTATTTTTTTCCTATTCGATTCAAAAAAAAATCTTTTAACCGTATGTAATTCCATAGAGCAAAATTAAAAACAATACTATGTCCAATATCCATATAGAATATAAAAAATATTGCAATTTTCTTTTCGTTGACTTTTGAGTTAAGTTAATATTTATGAAATGAATCAAATACCCATCTGAATAATTCCATATTGAATACGAATATGAATTAATGTTGATCTGGACGATAAAGATTAAATCATGGACATCACAAAATAATCATAATATCCGCTTTGAACCCACTCTTAGTATATACAGATCTTAGTATATACAGATGTTATGTTGAACATCAGTATCTATGCAAATTTTCAATATAAAGATATTTATACAACAATAAAGTGAAATATATATATGATGTTTATTTATCTTGTATAGACTTTTGAAATAAACATATGCATTTGATTATATATACACCAGAATAAGAATTTAAATTATCATACTATAAATCTTTGCAAATCTTTGCATATATAGTGATATATATCTAGTTGATAAATGTGTGTGTATATAAGTACCTGAATATGGCTTTTGACATGTGATAGTGTGAGTGTTTTCACATTCATTGACTTCAAAATCTTTTTAGGAATTGCTCCTTCAATATAAATGATAATCTTAAGATTGACATTTCACTACAAGAAAAACATCATTTTACAACGGCCGAAATGGTCGTTATTTCGTTGTAATAGTGCTATTACGACGGACTACCGACGATTTCGAAATCGTCGTAAAGTCATCGTCGTAATAGACAAATCGTCGTAAAATCGTCGTATAATCTACGACGGTTTCGTTTCGTCGTAACATCGAGGAAAACAAAATCATCGTAAATGCGTCGTACAGTTTACGACGATTTTACATCGAATTCCGTCGACTTGGTCTTGGCCTGGACCGTCGTTAAGTGGTCGTTAATGGTCGACGTAAGATCATCGTAAAATGTACGACACATAAATCGTCGTAAATCAATCGTAAAGTATTTAATCATTTCGTCGTAAAATCGTCGTAAAGCACGAATGTATAATCGTCGTACATTTTAGTCGTACATTCATCGTAATATTTACGACAAATTTACGACATTTTTAATAAAGCTATTACGACGATTATACGACGTTTAATATAATTGAAAATTAAAAGAAAAATTAATTCGAATTAAAATTTAAATTAAAAAAAATAATTTACAATTTTAAATTTATTAAAATTTGAAATTAAAATTAATTGTAATTTACATAAAAACTCTACAGATCTAAATCTAAATCTAAATCGTCGATCCCGTCGATCCCGTCACCGGCCTCCTCCCCATCGTCTTGGATGTGTTCCTTGCCGGGTCTTCGGTTTGATACTTCCGCCGGCGCCTGATCTCCGGCTCTAGGAGGCTCAACCCCGAGAGATCGGAACATCTCCTCGTCCGTCTGCACGGCGGTTGCGTCCTAGTGGATGACCCGACGGCAGACGATCCGACAACCCCATCAGCCCGCAGCTTGTCCAACTGCACCATGAGTACCGGATTGTCGGCTCCCATGATCTCGAAGAGACCGTAGAGCTGGTCGATCCTCGTCTCGTACCGGATCCGCATCTGATCGATCTCCTGGCGGATAACCGGATCCGGGACCCGGACGTGACCAGTCGCCGTAGCTCTCGGGGTATCACGGATGGACCCCATCCCTAATACCCGCCCCTTTTTCTTTGGGGCAACCTACAAATATTTTAAAACATTATAGTTAAAAATTTAATTTAAAACTAAAGTTACATTAATTAAATATAGTAATTAAATTTACCTCTTCGAAGATGGTCCATCTCTGCCACCGTCAGCGCTAGGGTCGATTGGACCGAGCTACCTCCGGGAGACGTTTGACGCGCCAGCTGAGTCAGCTGCGTCTGTCGCTCCTCGATCGCCGCACAGGCGGCGTTGTAGATCTCCTCCGCCCGAGGATCCGTGAATTCGCCGTTACGCTTCTTATGCGTCTCGGCGAAAACCTTCGTCATCGGAGGAAGTTCTCCTCCGTTATCTTCGACCTACAAAATCAAAATGAAAAAATTAATTAGTATCGAGAAATAAAAGTTAATTATTTGAAAACAAAAAAATTAGTAATTTTAATTTACTTACCATCATAAGCCGTCTTCCGGCAAAAGGAATCTGGCCGGAAGTGTGCGGGACGTTCTTCCGATTTCCCGCATCGTCAGTAGCGTTCCTAAAAAATATTTTCATTAGAATCTATTATAAAAAAAAATATAATGTTAATATTATTGGAATTAATTACTTACCTAGATCCGGAACACTTGGCGGCGTAGTCTGGTTGTGCGGATCCAACCAGTACTAGACAAGGCCCCGCCAGACGGTATTGGCCATAGACGCCGGCTTGGCCTTGTCGCCCTCAACCTCCCACTTCCGTTTCCAGTCGGAAACGGTGTTGTTGAGGCGGAATTTGACCTTCTCCTTGAAGGCCGTCTCCACACGTCCGTGTGCGGATGTTTCCCAATGCCAGTTTTGCTAGGAAAAAAAAAAGTTAGTAATTATTGTAAAAAGTTAAAATTTAAAATTACAATTAAACGAAATGGTAAATTACTTACCGCAAAACACTTGAACCAAGTGTCAAGTGTGGCCTGATCCAGCTTCTTCCAGCTGGTATGGGGTTGTACGAAAAACCCTTTGATGATATCCGCAACGTTACGACCGACTGCATTGTCGCTCGTAAACCTAGTCAAATGGAAAGAGAAAAAGTAAATTAATATCAAATATATAAGAATAAATATTAATTAATTTAAAAATATTGTAGAAAAAAATTACGTACCAAAGGTGCCCGGGGCTCGATCCGGGTCGAGTTTGTTCATGGTCTCACGACCGGGTTGCGCCAGAAGATCATGTACCATAAACTGGGCATACGGTATAGGCGGGATCGGATCAGCCTCAGGATCGGCCTGGGCGGGAGCCGCTAGTTCAGCTGTTGGTGGTGGAGGCGGTGCCGGCTGCGGAACAACGACCGGTTGGGAAACCGTCCGTTGTGTTCCCGAGGACTCCGGGATGGCTGATCCGGTCGCCGAGGTAGACGGGGCCGTATCGTCAGAATCGACGAGCTGTCGGTAGTGAAATCTCTTAGCCCGAGGAGCCATATCGACAGAATCTACAAAATTTTAAAAAATTAGTTACTAATTTTTCAAATATTTATTTAAATTTACCAAAATCCGGGCCTAACTAAATTCTGAAACCTAAATCAAATTCCGAACCTAAATCTAAATTCCGAACCTAAATCTAAAATAATATGTAATGAAATTAATTTAACAAAAATACTTACAAATTAATTGGCTGGAGAGTAGGGAGAGAAGGGAGAGGTTTATTTGTAGAGAGATAGAGAGATTTCTAGAGAGAGAGGGAAGAGAGGAATGAGCGACGAAGGAGGAAATCTCGCGTCCCTTATATAGATTTTGTGATCGTCGTAAAACCGTCGTAATGTGTTACGACGGTTTTACGACGATTCGGTTGTATAACAGTCGGTCCACTGCATGACATGACACGTGTCGTGATGGGAGCATTTGACCGTTACGACGGTTTTACGACGATTAAACCCCAAACCGTCGTAAAATCATCGTAACGTCTAAATATTCATAACCTCGTACCTCGGATCAAGAGCCTATCCGGTGCAAACGTTACGACGGTGTTACGACGGTT